ATATAAGAAATACATTTTTATTTGGGACCCACTCAAATCACCACCTGTGGGTCCTGGGGCCTCACTACATTGAAAACCTATCAACATCACTGAGTGCAGTCATGAAGTATTTCGTAGCATCTTCAATAGCATCTTCATCATCATCTTCTTCTTCATCATCATCAGAAACAGCTGAGATTCTCAAACACACATGTGACATAATGACATAATATATGTTGTGGACATGTTGAGTTGTGACCTCAGCAGCTCAGACTATGGGGGGGGGGGGGGTCACAGCTTTCAAACAAACAAACTGATCACATCTGGTCTCAGATTAAAGCTACAAACTGTAGAGTACAGTAGAGTACTGCAGTACGACAGTTCCATACAGTACTATAGTACTACAGTACTACTGTAGTTCTTCAGGTGATGGGGGGTGCAGGTTTAAAAGCCCCCCCCCCACTCCTGTACAGGACTGTTGTGAGAGAACAGGTCGAACACAGACCTCTGATCTGGGACCAGTTGAAGGTAAAGTCCACTACCTGAAGTGGTTTGATGGTCACATGATCTGATCTGGTTCACATGGAAACAGGCTCTTTTTGATGATAAATGAAACGTCTTTATCAATGTATCAGTGATCATCATCATCATCATCATCATCCTCAATCAGGTTTATTATAAAAGGTAAAAACCGTTTTGTTGTTTTTTATATTAAATAAATTCATTAGTATCATGTCACTCACACACACACACACACACACACACACACACACCTGACTCAGTAGTTTCTCCATCTCTGTCATTCAGACATCTCACGGTCGCGCGCACTATGGCACGCGGCGGTCCTTCGTTAACGGTCTCGCCAAGCTCACTTCGGTCCGCCAAAAGTCCCGCGTCATGTCGGTCCACCGCGGGACAGGTGAGATGAGAGATCCGCAACTGAGGAGGAGACGAAGAGATCCAAGCTGAACCGAGTAGAACTGGGTTAGATTCAGGAGGCGGAGAAACTAGCCGGGTTGCAGAGAGGAGGGGGGTCCGGGTTAGCACGGGTCTATTTGTGGTCCGAGTTCTGAAATATCCAGGTCCGGTTCTGTCACTGTTGTGACTTCCTGCGGATTTATACCGGGAACACTGAGACCGGGCCAGCGCGTGCTGCCTGTGAGGAGGCTGCTGCAGAGCACGAGCCAATCAGAGAGTAGAGGGGGGCTGGGGGTGGGGTGGGGGGGTGGGGGGGGGCAGTCACAAAACAAGTAGTGATTCTGATGAGCAGGATTTGATTCTACGCTTTATTGTGAAAGGTAAGCTCTGCTTTTTCCTGTCTGAACTCATCAGTTCCAGAGACACAGTCCCGGTTCAGGTCCTTGTGATTCTCAGACACCAGCTGAGCTCAGGTCACAGCTGCAGCATCACACGCTCACTGAGCACTTTATTAGGAACACCTGTACACCTGGTCATTCTGCCAATCACGTGTCAGCAGCAGATCCAGGGAAGGAGCTTCACAATGAGAAAACTGAGCTTCATGATCGTAGGTGTTTGCTCTGAAAGTTTAACTTACAACAGTCGGACATCAAAGAGGTGTGCGCGTGAGCTTGTGTGTTTAACCATCTGACAAGAAGCTCTGATGGAGCATAAAGCTAACTTACAGCTTGCATTGGCGTCAGCAGTCATTATATATAGAGATCAAATGAATGAATTAATGTTCATATAAAAGCAGAACAAACAAAAAACGTCAGCTCAGTGTTTCTGGGAGTTTTGGTGAAGATGAGATGATTTGTCCTGTGAGCACAGGGTGAGGGGGGGATTTGTTTTCACAGCAGGCAGGATGAAAGAAAAGGGGCGGGGCTTGTCAACAGGTGTTCACTCACAGTGGAGAAGCAGTGGTAAAATAAACTATACTTTCAGTAGTTAAAACTACTTTAATCACTGTGGATTGTATTTCCATAAAATGTGTCAATAACCTGCTTTCGAGGCGATGATCAGGTCAGTTATTAAATTCTTCATGTGCTGATTTCATTCAGTCAAATGAATCAGGTTCATCAGATACAGAGTAAATATTAAAGCTAAGCAGCATTGATCGGGCCCTCGCCCAGTCACACACCTGAGGGCCAGCAACAGGAGGCGACTCAACACTCAACATATATCATGTTCCTGTTTATCAAGTGTAAACCAGACCATGAAAACATCATGTAAATCAAATGTTGATTGTCACTCAAGGGTTACTTCCAGTATCCAGTAGGTGGCGCTGTAAATACGACATCATATTACCATGCTGATGTCTTCAGTGTGGGACTGTCAACAGACGTGAAGTTTGAGGCAGACTGGACGAAGTATCATATAGTTATAGGACTTTACTGTTTCATGGCAAAACATCAAAATTCTATTCCTGTAAATGTCAAAAACTCAGTAAATTCAAAATATCTGACTTCCTGTTGGGTTTAGGGTATGGGTACTTAGGCTTTTTTGTACCATTTTGTCCACACGGGCAAATGTAAACTCAGCTGACAATTTATTAGGAACATCTAGCTAAAACTGATACAGTCTAAAACAACAGCCCTGTAATAAACAGTCCTTCATGAAGATTATACTGTTTATACAGGTGTTTCTGTTCCTTGTTGATATGAATGGGTTGGACAAAATAATAGAAAACAATAGAAACTTAAAGCCATGGTGAGTGTCTTTATGTAACAGTAGTTTTGTGTTGGCATCGGTTCAGAATATTTCTGTCTCTTTGATTACTAATAATCAGAATCAGCCCTGAAAAATCTGTTGATCCCTATTGCTGTTTGTCAATTTAGGCTGATTCTGTCCTTGATTCATTAATGTCTTATTCAGTTAATACCAAGCAATACACCATGAATGAATGAATCCAAGTTTATGTTAAGTTCTCTGTGCTTCTATACAGTAACATAATATATACAGTTTATCATACTGTTTGCCTTTTTTTAATCCTAATAAGTAACTTACTGCTCTGATCATAGGTGCTGTCTTCATCTCTAACGTGGTGTTCTGTAGTTATGAAGTAAGTACTACTAACTACTCTGTCTCTTTCCAGTCTGCTGAGATCAGGAACTGCCGGGCGAGATGCTGTGATGCATTGTGGGGTTTTTAGTATCAACAACCTCAGGCCTTCCTTCAGCCTTGCAGGTAGCACTCTTCCAAACACACATATTTACACCTGATATAAACTGACTGATTTCCTCACTGGTGTTAAATATCTTTGGTTTGATCTGAAGTGAATGTGAACATTGATGTGTGTAGGGTAGATGGCCGTCACTGTACTAGAACCCTCCCTGAGAAGTATGGTGTGCAGTTACTGATGTCAACAGCATGGAAGTTATTAGTAAGAAGCATGTCAAATATTCAAAGGTAACAGCTCTGAGATAAAACTGGATATTTGTTGGTGTGTCCAACTGTATTTAACACGGCCAAGGACCCACAGCAGCACATCACCTGTGAGATCATGATAATGCTGAAGAACCAGGAGTGACAATACATCACCAGGTGGTGGGGAACAGAATGAAGTGTTTCTGGTTTAAAAGCACCGTCCTCCAGCATTTCAGAAATGGAAGGTCTTTAGTTTGGTTTTAAAAGAACACATTGATGGGGCGAGTCTAAACAAAAGGTTTACTTTACAATATTAAGCTTGTGTTAATATTTCATTGATTGACACTTAATTTTATTATTCGGAAAAAGTTTCTCTGCAGAAACTTTAGTGGCGTCACTTTATTGAAGGTGTTTGATCATAATAATTTGGGAAAAATCTGTAAAATAATAGTTTTCCTCTTCAGAAATATTAATGAAACTTTCTGTAAATGTATTGTTTTTACCCTTTATTTGAATTAGGACATTTAACTTTAATCTTACAGTCAGCTGCTGCTGCCAATCATTTCACCGTTTTTTTAACGATTTTTTTTTTTTTTTTTTTACAGTGTGGCGCTCAAAGAGACCATCAGGTTCCTTGTCTCCTCTCTTCGCCCTGATGTCTCAGTCAGTCCAGGTCCGACTCTAGAAGAGTCCTGGTTAATCTAGAGTGATCCTGTCTCTGACCTCTGCAGGTGACAGGTGTGTGTCTGTATGACCTTATGTAGACAGGTGTGTGTGAGTTTACCATAGGTGGACTCCAACCAAGGTGTAGAAACATCTCAGAGATGATGATGATGTAACCTGAGCTACATTAAAGTGTCTGATTACTTCTGTCAATGTGAGATTTCAGTTTTTACTCTTTAATACATTTGAAAAGAAAAATCTAAATAAATAAATACCGTTTTCAGTTACTCATTATGATGTATTGAGTGTGGACTGATAAAAGTTATAGATATCTACTAATTAAATGCAAAATTCAAGGGACTGGTTGTTGAGGTCTGCAGACGAGGTTTAGTTCTACTATGAACAGAGAAACAGTCTCATGTTCTCATCCATGAATCAGGCTTCCAGGTAACTTCAGAATCAGTTTCCTGTCTGAAGGTCGTTCAGGAGGCTGAGTCTCTGTTTTCCAGAGTCGTGACACCACACTAATGTTGGGATAAACTACATACACACACACACACACACACACACACACACACACACACACAGAGGGTTGTACTTGTGAGGACTCGTCATTGACATAATATATTCCCCATGTTTAGTCATCACAACTAAACATGTGGTCTGACAGCATTGAGACAAACCTACGAGACATTATCTTTGGGTGGATTAATTAAGGTGTAGCAGTGATGTAGGAGTCATCGTGGCTTGTTACACAACAAGCAAATGTGTTTCACAGACAAGAGAGACATCCCTGAACTCACCACAAGCTCGAGAATAAAAAGTACAAAATAAAACAAACAGATAAACAGGCTTTTATTTTTAGCTCATATCATCAGGAAACAGCAGCTTAATGTGGTTAAACTGCTGTCAATCATCTGTCAGATCACACACACACACACACACACACACACACACACACACACAGTGTTGCTGGAGGGTTTAAATATCTGAGGAAACTCAGAACTGCTTAAGTTTCTTACAGCCATTGAGACAGTGAGGACAGCTGTGATGTGTGTGTTCAGGTGTGTGTGTTTGCTGTTGTGTGTGAGTGTGTGTGTGTGTCTGAACCTGTTGGATGAAGCTGTTACGTTCAGTGGACCAACAGGAAGTCTGTTTGGATTCTCTGTCGACTTTCACACCATCAGCAACAAGTAAGAACCCTTTAATTAACCTTTGATTAACATTTAATTAACCTTTAACCCCGAAACCTTTACCAACCTTTAATTAACCTTTATTAATTAACTAACCCCTAACCAAATCTTTAACAGACTCCTTAACTAACCCTGTCAACAATAAGTAAAGACCCTTCGATAAACCTAAAAACCATCAGTAGCGCCAGAAGTTAAATAACTAAACTCAACCAATTTTATTAACTATTCTCTTTGCTAACACCATCAACTCATATCTTAGCTAACTTAGCAACTAGAACCTCAACTAACACATCAATAAACCATTTAACCTGCCTTAACCAACCCCTGATAAACACCTGAGTCAGATGCTCTTTAACCAACACTGTTCTAATCCCAGAGTATAACGGTTCAAGACATCCCCCCAACGTTTTGGAGGATGCCACATCTGGAGTAGTTCTGGGCTCCTTAAAGCAGTACTGTACCGTCACGAAGGTTTTATATATGAGAGCAGCAAACAAGATCATAGAGAGAAGGAAGTCCCTGTGTGTTGTAATCCAGCTTCTCTCTTTGACTGAAGGGAGGGGGAGCTGTGGCTGACGAAGATGTTGGTAGCAGTGAGTGTCACATATAGAACCTTTAAAGAGGAAATTCAGGGTTAGAAAGATGGAGTACTTTACAGATCAACAGGTTGCTTAGAACTGTTCTGGGGTCTTTGATGATGTTTTTTCATCCCAGACGATGTTCTGAATTCCTGAAATAAGAGCTTCAGTGGTTAAAGAAGCTCTGAGGTCTTCAGTGGTTTAAACCCGGGTCAAACCACATTAGAAACACCTTAGAAACATTAAAATACAAGTTAGAAAACAAATTATAAACATGTTAGAAACACGTCAGAGACGCATTAAAAAGCAAGTGAGAAACACATTCGGAACATGTTAAAAACACGCTACAACACACTGTTCTTTCTGCAGGCCCTTTGTTGTGATTGGAGCTCCCAGAACCAACACCAGCCAATCAGGGGTTATGGAGGGAGGGGGTGTGTTCCTGTGCCCCATATCACCTGGAGGCGGGACTTGTGACATCATCAACTTTGACCTAAAAGGTAAATTTCTGATCTATGCTTCATCCAATCAGGTTAAAGCAGAGACAGCATCACATCTCTGTAGCACACAATAAGTTCTCACCTACTGGAAATACTCAGGTTGGTTTAGGTGTTGCACCTGTCCTACCTGTCATATCTGTTTTATCTGTCAAACCCGTTGTCATGGTTTGCCATGATGGACAATTTCTGTTTGAACACTTCCTGTTTTATTTTGTATTGCACTCTTGTGTGTGTTGTGGTTATTTTATATCCTGTCTTTGTCCTGTTGTTGATTGCCCCGCCCTGTTGTGTTTCACATGTGTTCAATCACCTGTCCTCCCTTTTGTCGCTGTAGTCTCTCTGCTCCACCTTTGTCCCTTTGTCCCTTTGTCGTTTTCTGTGCTTCTTCTGTTCACTCTCTTTTGGATTTTTAGTTCTCAGCATTTTCACCCTTTTGCAAGTTTCTGTTTCTTCTTCATTTAATAAATCACCACTTACTTTGGATGGTCTGCAATTGGGTTCCTTATACTACAAAACCTGACAGTTGTACCTGTCATACTTGTCACAGCTGTCATACCTGTTGCAGGTGATGAGGACTACAGCAGCTCCGGTCTCTTCTTTCATGCCTTTAAGAGTCAGCAGTGGTTTGGAGCTTCAGTTCGATCAGTCAGCAGCTCACACTTACTGGTGAGAACACACACACTCTTTACAAACAACATTCATGTGTTCACCAGTGGATTCAGAGAGAAGAGTGTTACTGAAACAACCATAAACAAACTGAACAAGCTCAAATGTATTAATTTGGGAAAACAGTGAGAACTGATCTGTGTGGTCACTCTATCCTACAAAAGAGGGTGAAAAATCTGTTACAGTCTCGTTGTGCGAGTACTCGTCCAGGTTGAGGGTCTTTATTTCAAGTAATGTCAGCAGGATGCAGCACAAATCTCTTTTTCATGAAATCATATTAATTATGATCTATAATTTCTTCAAGGACTTAGAGTCTGTTTCCAAAAACAGTCTATTGTAGATCCGTTGAACAAAATGTCCACAGGTGATAGAAATCCCAGTGCCCCCCCCCCCAGTGTAATAACGAGACCTGATGAGACCTGATGACTCCCATGCTTTAGAAAGGGTCACTGTAGTCCAGTGTCAGGTGAGAGTGATAACCTGTGTGTGCTCATCTCTCAGGCATGTGCTCCGCTCTTTCACTGGAATGCTCAGATGGGAGGGGCCGAGTCAGGGAAAACACCTGTGGGGAACTGCCTCCTATTGGACCACAGGACAGGACGCTCCACCACTTTCTCCCCCTGCAGAGGAATCATGATGGAGGCTGACTACAAGACCATGAAAAACAGTAAGATCGGGTTCTTCCTCAGCTGGTGGATTTAAAATCATAGATCTACTCTGATTCCTGTGGTTGGTCCTCTTCACTTTGAGACCACAAACACACCACCAGAGTCTGACTTGAACTGGACTGAGATCCCGCCTTTTTGGCAGTTTTGGCCTGGTTGTTTGGTTCATAACAGTTTTAATGACTCACCTGAGAATTAGCTTCAGGTTGTGTCTGAAAACACTTTCTGTCTCCAAGTTACAACTTGTGTCTGTTTCTTGTTGCCTAGGAAACGACCAGCGGTACTGTGAGGTCGGCTTCAGCACTGACATCACAAAGGTGAGGGGGCGGTGTCCCACCTGTAGGTGGTTAATAATCTCATCTGCTGTTATGAGTAATTTTCATATTGATCTGTTTATTTGTCTGTAAATTGTCTTCAGACCAGTGTCTACTCCTAATGTCGTCATGACAACAGCTGTCCTCAGCTATGATGATATGTGAACATCTTCATGTCTCTGTGTTGTAGGGGGGTCGGCTGGTGGTGGGGGCTCCAGGAAGCTTCTATTTCCAGGGTGAGTGGAGACGTCTGCTGGTCACTGACAGGAAGTACAACTGATCAAACATGAACTTCATTTACTGTAGAGAAAAAAACATCTGAGATACAGCAGGACAAATGATTTAAAATGATTTACAGTTCACTGACAACATGCCGCTGTTGGTTCCAGGTCAGGTCTTCACAGTGAGTGTGAGTGACATTATCAACAGTGGAGAGAGCGACAATCCCATCCAGTATGTGGGAGGCATCAGCCAATCGGATGAGAGAGGAGATTATGACCTTTACCGTGGTGAGTAGAGATGAGGAAAGCTTTAATTCTGAAGGGTACACTTGTGTTGAATGTTAACTGAATTCATAAACCTCAGAATAAAGACTCAAATCGGTTCCCACTTCAGCTGTTACTACGTTTCCCACAGTGGGACACTGTGTTCACACTGTAACACTGCTGCACTCATTTATCAACAGTGAACTTCTCAGTGTCATCAGTGTGGACTGGGTTTATACACTTTTCATACATTATATACAGTTTCATACATACAGATTAGTTACATACAGATTAATTACGTACAGATTCAGACAAACATGTCAGAGATTAATGATGATGAAATCAAATCTATTCTCTAAAATCTGTGTCAGGTTACTCTGTGGCCAGTGGTCAGCTGACTGGAGACTCCTTACCAGGTTACTATAATATAATCAACCTGCTGCATTTGTTTGATGACAAATTGATGACATACAAAATCAAATCAGTGACATCACTGCAACTGAGCAATAATCAATTACTATGTGTTTGTGTTTCAGATTATCTAGTTGGTGTTCCCAATGACAGAAACACAGCAGGAACAGTAAGACTCTGTTTTACTCACCACACTAACTTGTTTAATTTTTCTCAAATTTGAATGATTTCTAAGAAAAGTTTTCATTTTAGTTGTTTTGAACATTTTTATTTTGGTTGTGATTTTGAAGTTTTCTGATCTTTGAGACTTTGTATTTTGATCAGGAGATGAAGTAGCCAGAGACTTTACTAAAACTGATGGACAACTCACGAGGTGTTGTCAGATATAACACTGTGTCATCTGCATATCGACAGATTTCCTGGCTCCTGCAGAGAATCTGGCCTGAGTCTAGCCAGAGTCACTGTGAATACTTAGTGTTATTTAGATCATATGGTCCAGTGAACCAAGCTGAGAAGATGGTGGACTTCTTTCCTTGTGTCTCTTTTAACTTTAAAAGTTACTGGTGATGATCCTGTGGTAGACGACCCTGTTTTACTTTACTGTAATCTACTGGGTTCTCCTGGGCTCTGTGGTAGAGAACTGTGTTCCTCTGGGTTCTCCTGGACTCTGTTGTCAGTGTGTGTGTGCTAACAGGTGAAGATCTATGACGGCAGGAGCAGTGGAACACTGAGTGTTCACCACGTCTTCCAGGGAGCTCAGGTGATGTCGTCACAAACGTCAATGTACCTGATGTGAAAGTGACATCCTCAGAGTCTGAATCTGGACCTGTGGTCTTTGTCTCCTGTAGGTGGCGTCATACTTTGGACACAGTGTGGCTGTGGCCGACATCAACAGTGATGGGTGAGAACAGATGAACAGACACAATGGTTACAACAGACATTCATCATCTATGGAGTAAAGTGAACCTGTCTGTCTGTCTGTAGTTTAGATGACGTGCTGATTGGAGCTCCTCTCTACATGGACAGGGTGATGGAGCAGCTGCAGGAGAGAGGACAGGTCTGCATCAGTCCAATAAAGTGTTCTGGTCTCTGTCCCTCTCTGGTTTTTACAGTTTAGTTTTTTGTCCAGGATAAATCAGTATTTTTCTGGTTCAGTCACACAGGAGAAGTCAAGGTCTTGAAGAAGCAGAGTAAAAGTTTCTGGCACAACTTCACATACTTCCAAGGATCATGGAGAATCAGTCACTCAATCAATCAGTCAATCAATCAATCAATCCTTATTTGTATAGCACTTTTCATACAGGTTATTGCATCAGTTCAAAGAGCTTCAGAGATGAATGAAGAAAGGGTCAAATTAAATAAGCTAATGAGTTACAATAAAATACAATAGAGTGTAACAACAAAGGGAACAAAGTGTAATTTGCACCTAAAGTCCTGTAAAATATTATCAAACTTTTTCCATCTAAAATTCATCATGATGTCTTCACTAGAGCGAACCTGCCCTGCAGTTTTCAGCTGTCTGGACCAGTCTTAACTCGTCTTGTAAATGATGAGATTAAATATTATAATTAGAAAACAACATTTGCAGCTGCCATGTTTCACCGTCAGTAACTTGCTGTGAACAGACATGAGAAGTTTTTTCTGGTTGTTTGATGTGAAGTGAACCAAACTATAAACACTGATGTAGTAGAATAATATATAAATAAAGACAGTCAGTATGTTTATCATTATTTCACTGCTGTTACTCTCAATTCAGGTGGTTGTGTACCTGCAGAGAAGACACGCCACCTTTGCCTCCCAACCTGACCAATCTCTGATCGGCTTATCCTTGTATGGGAGGTTTGGCTCCGCCCTTGCTATACTGGGTGACCTGGACATGGATGGTTACCACGGTAACCAGTTAAAATTTTGTTTAGTGATAAGAAATCGAGCTGCTGTCTTCAGCTTGTAATGCTAGCTACAAAGTCTTAGCTAATGTTGCAAATGACATCAGCTAACATTGCAAGCTAACCAGAAACAAGAGGAAATTCATTAAACTGTGACCATCTCTCCACAGATGTGGCTGTCGGGGCTCCCTGGTCAGGTGAGGGTGGGCGGGGCCAGGTATTTATCTACCTGGGCAACCGTAATGGTCTGTCAGCCACACCCTCTCAGGTGATTGACAGCCCGCTGCCTAGCAGCCGGACGGCATTTGGCTTTACTCTCAGGGGAGGGGCTGACATTGATAAGAATGGATACCCAGGTATGCTCTGGGTTCAGAGGTCGTTCATTCATATTATTGACTGATCAGTAATCAATAATCAGTGTCACTTCCTGTCTGTTTGTGTTGTAGACCTGCTGGTTGGAGCGTGGGCTGCAGACAGAGCTTTTGTCTACAGGTTTGATGTCATTAAATTTCAAAACCTGTAAACTGACAAGTTGTTTGAATAATTATTGAAGAGTTAAAATTATTCAGTGATTCACAGGAAAAATTACAATTAGAGGAAATATTTTTCTTCTTTCCATGCCTTGATTTAACCATAAAAAGGTTTAATTTGCAACCCTTGTGGGTGTCCTGACCCCAACTTTAATCCAGGTAGTGTATTTGTCAATAAACTGAAGGTTTAGGGTTTGTTAGATATCGGACTGTATTGACTAGTTTCTTCTCTGTAAATGTGTAAAGCTATCTATCTCAAGCAAAGTGACTGACATATCCATCAGCAGCTAACTCTGAAGGTCTAGATGTCAAAGAGAGTTCACATGATGAAAATGTAACTTGTGTGTTCAGATCCCAGACAGTGATACGGTCCAGAGTTTCTCTCACTCTGCTTCCAGACTTCCTGAATCCAGATGTCAAACTGTGTCATCAAGAGAACACACCTTTGTCCTGGTAACACATTTAACTGATTATTGAACAAAAAAACATTCATTGAATTGTTTTAAGAACTGATCAAAATGTTCAAAGAAAGTCAGAGTTCTGGGTTCGTTGAAAAATGTCTGTGGTTCTTAAGACAGGTCCAGGGGTTCTTGAAGGAGATTTAAGGTCCTCGATAGGGACTCTTAGGTACTTGAGTCTGTTAGGTGCTTCAAGGGATCCTTAAAAATACATGAAGTAAAGACATTTCAGGGGGTCCTAAAAGGAATTCCAGGGTCTTTGAATGTTTCTGTGGTTAGGGCTCCTCCCTCCTCGGTAAGGCCCTGAGTTTTATTGAGGATTTTTTTCAGTGTTCTGCATATATGTTAAGGTACTTCAAAGACTCCAGGAAATAGTATTTAAAAAGAGTCCAAGGCCGTCCTTAAAGTAGTTCCAAAGTGCATGAGGGAGGAGTCCAGGTTCCAGCTGACAGCAACAGGAACAACGTTTATATAGAAGCTGGTGTCATCTGCATGTTGTCGAATGTAAATACTGTGAGAGCTGATAAATTACATATACATATATATATATATATATATAAAACAATGTTCCTGTAATTTCATCTTCACTGAATTTCAAGAGAAAATATTCTCTCCCCCCCCCCTAGCTTTGTTATTCAGATGTGTGTCCATGTGTCTGGACACAGAATCCCACAGGAGACAGGTAAACCAACCTCAGACAGGTAAACTAACCTCAGATGGGTAAACTAACCTCAGACAGGTAAACTAACCTCAGACAGGTAAACCAACCTCAGACGGGTAAACTAACCTCAGACGGGTAAACTAACCTCAGACGGGTAAACCAACCTCAGATGGGTAAACTAACCTCAGACAGGTAAACTAACCTCAGACAGGTAAACCAACCTCAGACGGGTAAACTAACCTCAGACGGGTAAACTAACCTCAGACGGGTAAACCAACCTCAGACGGGTAAACTAACCTCAGACGGGTAAACTAACCTCAGACAAGTAAACCAACCTCAGACAGGTAAACTAACCTCAGACGGGTAAACTAACCTCAGACGGGTAAACTAACCTCAGACGGGTAAACCAACCTCAGACGGGTAAACACTAATCTGAGAGCGGGGTTAAACTAACCTGAGATGGGTTAAACTTAACACTTCAGATGGGTAAACTAACCTCAGACGGGTAAACCAAACTTCAGACAAGTAAACTAAACACTCAGACGGGTAAAACTAACCTGAGAACGGGTAAAACTAACCTCAGACGGGTAACTAAAACCTCAGACGGGTAAACCAACTTCAGACAAGTAAACTAACCCTGAAACAGGTAATATCCTCCTAAAAAACTGTATAATGACTTCATTTTTCTGTCTGCATGTGATTGCTGATGCAGCACTCTGTGGGTGGACCTACAGCTTGAACAAGATGAAACAGCCAATGGCGCGACGGACCCTTGCTGCTGTCAACCAATCAGCCACAGGAGATGATGAAGCTGATGGTTCAGAGGGAAGTGGGCGTGGCCTGTGTGAATCAGACTGCCCTACCTGAGGGTGAGTGACAGAAAAGAAACACAGACAGACACAAGATGAACAGGTGAAAAAGAGTCACACCTGTGTGTGTGTTGTGTGTGTGTGTGTGTGGTTGTGTGTGTGTGGTGTGTTGTTAGCTAGCAGTCTGAAGAGGAGGTTCGTGAATAAATTGAGTCCAATCTTCATCCGGCCAACATCAGCTCTTCAACACTATCCAGCATGCATTGCTTCATGGACAGAACACTGCTGCTGCACAGGTGAGTCTGAGTCACACCCACACCCTGCACTTCAGGCACCAGGTTACGTTTGTTTTCATTCGGTCATCTCATTTATTGACCATCATGTAGATACATAGTAACCATGGCAACATGGAGGTGGAGGTCATTACTAGGGTTACTCCATTTCAGGTTTTTTTTTCCAGTAACGATAATCTATGAGTGAGACAGCCGATACCGATCACGTTTGTCATCATTGCAGATGTCATTTCGTTCTAATTGGTCTCTCACAACTTTGTTTTGGCGGTCTGTTGGTGGGAGGCGGGGCTACACCACACAGTCACATGCTTCTCTTGATATTAACCACAGGCGTTTGGTTGAAGGTGATTTGATGACTAGGAGCATTAGTTCAGATCTACCACTGATCAATGGGGCAACCCCTAGTCATCACATCATGTTCATACTTTGAGTCTGAGTGGATTCTACATTGTGAACATTCAGTGTCATTGATGATGTCAGAGAAAAGTGTGATGAACATAAAACAGCCTTTTATAACATGATGCAGGAAGTTAATAACAATGATTCCTGACTGAGTGAAAGGAGGGAAAATGACTGATGCACCAAAACCCTGGGTAACCTGGACCATCACATCCTGCTCTACCGGTGAGAGATATACATAAAGATAAAATAGTGTGTGTGTGTGTGTTGTGTGTGTGGTGTGTGTGTGTGTGTGTGTGTGTGTGTGTGTGTGTGTTGTGTGTGTGTAGAACCAGGATCATTCTGGACTGTGGAGATGACAACATTTGTGTTACCTGACCTGAGACTGAGGGCTGAGCCAGTGAGCAACACAACACAAACCCAGAGAAAGAGTTCTGTAGTTTCTGTTGTTTTTTAGTTTCTTCACTGATTCCATTCCTGAATCTACTGATTTAGTGTGTTAATTGTGTGTGTGTGTGTGTTAGGGTGTCAGACAGTGTGTTGGTTGGGAGGATCAGGTCGGAGGGAATGTTTCAGTGTCGGCAGAAAATGACGGTGAGGGAGCATAATGAGACCGAGCTGGTGGTCCGAGTTCCCGGAACACACACCATCTTCGCAGAGCAGCCAGGTGAACACACACACACACACACACACACACACACACACACCATCACACGA